ACACTGACACAGCCAAGTCACAGGGCTCTGGACTCTTCTAGTCACTGTGGACACTGACACAGCCCAGTCACAGGGCTCTGGACTCTTCTAGTCCCTGTGGACACACTGACACAGCCCAGTCACAGGGCTCTGGACTCTTCTAGTCCCTGTGGACACAGACAGCCCATTCACAGGGCTCTAGACTCTTCTAGTCCCTGTGGACAGTGTTGCAGTGAATTACATTTTTTCTCAATAATTTAAACATTTAAACTGGTTTTATAAATTTTGCAAAAATGAAAGAACATGTCCCAAAAGGAAGACTGTCAGCTGAATGATCAGCAGAATTATAACAAGAGAAAGAGGAAGAAGTATCTGAGACACAATCCCCACACTCTGTCTGACCAAGCGCAGCTCTGACTGACCATCCACAGCTCTGACTGACCCAGCGCAGCTCTGACTGACCAAGCGCAGCTCTGTCTGACCGTGTGAAGCTCTGACTGACCGTGCGCAGTGCTGTAACCCCAGTACTCCAGCACTGTGCTGCAGACCTCTGTCAGCTCTGTTCACAGCTGAGCAGCTGTGATTGAGCCCCATCAGTGCGAGGAGGACACTGCGAGTTCCAGACAAGCCTGGCCGTCTGCTCTGACGCCCCTGCTGTTCCTCTACTTGAGCGCTCAGTTTCTGACACCCCCAGAGTCCTCCTGAGGGAGCGGTTGAACCCTGATGCAGGCGAAAGCCCAGCAGGATTTGAGCACAAGTTTCGACGAAGAGGAGGAGAGGAGGAACACACCTCACCGGCCAGCTCAGGGGAACATCTAACACTGCGGGCACCCTGATCAAATCTGTCATCATTTAAATGATTATCTTAATTATTTCTGACCTTCTCGATGTTCCCAGCTGTTCTCGACGGGCGCCTGGACCCCTGCGAGGAGGAGTCCTATCGGCGCTGGACGAGATCTCCAGCTTCAGAGCTGCCCAGTCAGGGCACTTTCTGCCTGCTACAGCACAACTCTCACCGCCCAGACCGCCAGACGTGGAGCACTGTGTACAAGCGCTGTACAGACCCCGGGCCTCTCGAGCCACTGTTGGTTTTGTGAAAGTCAGCTCACGAATCCCAAAAACAAAATAAACAATGACAAATGCAATCAGTTTGGGCTGGGTTTTCTACGTAACACAATTCTGGCAATACAGCAGCAGGGCCGAGACCCGTGCAGGTGACTCTGGAAAGGCTCGTTCTCCTCCGGTGTCCCCGATCTCCCCGGGGGTCTGCCGCTCTGCAGGGCTGTTTGTCTCTGGGGCACCAGGAGTCGCTCCTGGAAGGGGACGAGCTGTGGAAGAGGATGTTTCATTCTGTCGGACGCCTCTGCGGTCTGCCCAGCTGCGTGCAGGTTCTGCCTCCGTGTTGATAGTTTGGTACGTGCGGGGTGTGATTTCGGAAGGCGTGCGTAAATGTTTGCGAGAAGCAGTCATCTATCTGCGGCGATGGGACCCTCTCTCTCTGTGTGTGCGTGGAAACTCAGGGCTGAGTTCTTGGCAATGCAAATCTGCAGGAGCCAGTGACCCATGATGCCTCTCTGGGCTGTGATGTCTCACTGCTCGGCAGCCGGGCGAAAGCAGAAGTTCTCAGTTTCAGTTTGCAGCAGCACAGGCAGCGCGGCCTCGACTCGCCTCACTGCTGGAAACAGCCTTGTCACACCCCAAGCCTCGTCTCCACAGCAGAGCAGCTGCTACAACTGCTGTCAGCCCTCATCTGTCCAGCAGGCAACATCCAGCCATCAGCCAACGAGCACGCTCCAATCAACCCCCAGTCAGGCATCAGCCAAC